TTTGTAAACCACTTTAAAGCCGTAGTTGTTAACTTTAATTAAAAAAAAAAAAAATCACTTTGTTTCATATTTGCTGAAACTGTCACTATATTCACACAGCACCAAACGAGACAGATAATCTGTGGGGAAAAAATTAGCCGGGTCACAAAAGTTCTCATTTTACAGCTAAACAGTACACTAAAATGTGTTTCTGAAAACATTTGAGGTGAGAAAAGGGCAATGCAGTAACAGAGTACTGATTCATATTTGAACAGCGCTGCCTAGTTCGACAGCTTGACCAAAGTTCAGGAGCAGGGACTGACATGATTAACAGCCGCATTAGAGACTCCTCAGCTCTGACTGGTTGTTTCTGGTTCACCGTGGTCAATTCTACTTAATACAATTAGAGGCAATAGGAGGAGAGGGAGGGATGTGATTTATCTGTGTCATGTACTTCTTTAAAAAGATAGTGACAGTTTCAGCAAATATGACAGTTATTTTCATTTAAAGTTACCAATTGTGGTTTTAATACTGCAGCTGGTAGTGAAGGAACACATTTTGTGAATTTAAGTCACTAAAGTTACCAAATAAATGTAGTGGAGTAGAGAGTATATTGTTAGTCTCTGACATGTGGTGGAGTAGAACTACAAAGTAACAGAAAAAGGACAAGTACCTCAAATTGTACTTAGGTACAGTATGAATGAACGTAGATACTTTCCATCACTGTCCAATGCTGTAAAATATTGTTCTGACAGCTTCCAAAGTTTAAGGAGAAATAAAGGAATAAGTTGCCTTCTTTTGTTGACTTACCACCCATCAGTAGACCCACCAGACAGTAGATCACCCCTTTCATTGTTAAACCTAAAATAATGCAAGCACATTGCCCAAATTAAGCATCCATTAGTAATAATGAGACAACAGGACACACAAAAACTACTTTTTGAGACAAGTATAAAGTTTCCACCCATGTTTTTTTGTCTTATCACGTTTTGGAATTCTCAAAACTTATTATCTACATTTGGAAAAAACATATACAAAATGATGGCTATCAACCAGTAAACTTGGAATTATTTAGAAAAATCACGGGGACCACAATTAGTTTTTTCTACAAATTCCAAACCCCACCCCCAATATTCAGAAAAACTTAACAAATTCTTGCAGCAAGTTTGCCTCCAACAATTTTGCCTCTAAGCTGCTGAAAATAACTACTGTAAGCTGTTAAAGACATATTTACCATACAAAGATTTTATATATTTTAATTCAATAAAAATAACAAGAAGAACTTTAAAACAGGGTTCACAGAGTGCAAATGCAGGATAATTACAAGGCAATGAAAACAATGGAAAGCCAAGCACTAAGGCCAAACAAAGCAAGACAAAACTAATGAAATAAATACAAATAAAAAGAATAAAAGCAATAAAAAGACATGATAGTAATCCTTATGTCAATGCAGGTCTCATTAGAATGTGTAGTTGTGATATTTGCAAATCTAACTTACCTGAATCAGACGACCGGGGAATCTGGATAAATGGCATCTGGATTGATTGCCTTTTATTTGTCTTGGTGATGCAGAGAAAGCCAATCAGAGAGAAGGTGTCACGCTGCCTCCACGGAAGCCAAGTCACCAACCGACTGATCACATGGCAAAATTTTCTCTATGCATGTGCACATCTATCACCAGTTAGATGACAGCTTGTCATGATCCTGTTTAAAGAGTTTTATAAGAGAAAGGGATGGGAGAAAGGATGGAAGACACGTGTTTGCTTCTCACCTGACCATGAAGCATGTTTGTTACATCACCTATATATTTAACATAGGTGGATGATAAGTGTGAACTTCAGGTGATGTAATGTTATTAGGCCCTTTGTGGGACTGGATTTTTCCATCCATATATAAAACATTTAAGTGTAAAAGAAAGATAAAAAGAAATATGTGACTGCACAGGTGTAGATTTCAAGAGGGATTCATTCATTTAATATTTAAAACGTGCATTTGTTCCCCACAACATGACAATTAACAGAGGACCTTTATTTTGACAGAATTAAAGATGTTTACACCATAAATTGATGCAGAAAAGGCACAAAATGGTTCATAAAAATTGAATACATCCTTGTGTGAGTGGAAAAAGAGTCTGTCTCCAAGGACCAAAAACAAATAACAAAGGAAACTCAAGTGACAGTATAACACTTATATAGTATATGGAAAAGTAAATGAGTCACTATTTGAAAGTTGCAGATTGCCCTAGTGATAAGAGTGCACATGTTAAGGGTGTTGAATGGTCATATCTGAGGACACAGCCCAACAAACGCCTTAAACACAAAACAGACCAATCAAATACTGACGGACACTTATTCATACTGTCAAAATTAATTTATAATACATATTAAACCATGATAAAAATTGCTTCTAATATTAGCTGGAAAAAACTCTAGCGATTCAATCAATCAACACTTCTTTGACAGCACAATGCAGACAGCAGGAATAAGTGTGTGAGAGTTGTTTGAATTTAAGGGAGTGAAAAAGCAATTAAAGTGATTCACTGATTTTAAGGGAGGGAATCCTTCACTCTTCTCACATGTAGCAAGTCAAATGCCGTTTGCAGATAACGACATGAAATGTTCAGCGGGTTTTGGTGAGTGTGAACCATCTTTTGATAACAGAGAGCACACTCAGACAGTTTTTGAAAGCAGGGGTTGAGGGAGTTTACCGTATGAAGTCTGCTGAGTTTTGGGAAAGAATTGTTCTGATAAACGTGCCAGTCTGTGCCATCATGTTTCTTTCTCACTTCATCTAGTCAGCAAAACATCACTGACTTACCAAACAAGTGCAAGATAAAGATGAACTTAGAATAGATTCATGGTTATTACATTCTATATGAAAAGTGTTGATTGCACATGGAAAATTAATTGAAATTTTTTTCAGTTGCCCTTTGTCAGGGAGCCATATTGGCATCAGTCTCTGACAGTTCAGGTGGACGAGGCTGCAGGTTTAGTTTATTAGCTGAGAAGCAAACATATGTGCTGATGTTCTGATGAAGGCTGTATGTTCATATGTGTCAGCAGATTGTCGGTGTGATATGTATTAATAAGTTTAAGGTGACACAATTGCATTTCTTTTAACCTTGTAGTGCTGCCTTCGTGAAAATCTTTTTCGGGTATAACAAACATTTTGGGTTTTACAACTTTGCCTGCATCAAATTTATAGCTTTCTAATACAATAGACTACAAAGCCTACATTCTCCCTCCACAGAAACCATCAAACAAGCATGGGCAAAAAACTGGATGGGGAGACATCAGGAAACATCTGGACATGGATCATCCAGCTCTCCAAAGCTGACTAAATGATAGGACATTTTCAGCATCTTCTCCGAAGTGGTTGGTCTAATCCTGACCCGAAACTGTTCATCCTTGGCACAACAGAGGCACTGAACACATTAAAGGAGTTTTATACGATGATACAGAAGTAAACAGCTATTTGCTATGTAAAGATATGATGAAGTAACTGTGACCTGACAGAGGATGAAGTCACGTTTCCTTTGTGTGTGCTGCAGTCTGTAATCTGAGCTTCTCTGTTTGTTGATGTGGTAGCCAGTTTGGCTGTGTGCATGTTGGTGCATGTGAGTCCCTGTGTGTCTATCCCACTGGCTAGCTAATGGCTGTCATATTATTGTGGAAGCATAGTGCCCACCTTCTGCTTGGGACCACCTTTTTTGCTTGTCGTTTTTGGATACTTTTGCCTGTGTGACTGACTACTCATGTACCGACCTTTGCCTGATTGAAAACCCTGCACTTTCATCTGAGTCTGTGAGTCTGCTTAGTGAGTCCATCTCCAGTTTGTGCTTGATATAAACTTGGTATTAGTATATGTGTCAGTGACCCGAACATAAGTGGACAGCTGAGACACATCGGTGTCAACACCTGCGTCTAGCATACATCTCCAGTTGGCCATTTGTGCTGCGGTGTCTTTACTGCCTACATCGCTTACACTTGAAGCTCAAAGTGCCCCATAAAGAGTTATTACTTCCACACTCTTGCATGCTCACTAGTCACATTTGTAGTTGTGTTGGAGATATCGCAGTCAGCAGAATTCAACACGACTGCTTACATAGGACAAAACAATGGACGTCACACAAGACTTTGTCCAACTCGTTGTAAAATGGCCACGTTAAAGATGGTCAGCACGCTGTCGCCAAAACAACCACCACGTCCTGCATGGATGATGTAGCACTTGTCAGGTACACATCAGGATGCAAATGCATCCCAGATCATCTCGGCAAGCGGTTTCAGCAATAAGATCACAATGCGTCTTGGTGGTTGCTAACACTTGTATTTAGTGATGTCCACTTGTGATCGGATCACCCAAGACTCATTTCCATGCCAGGTAAAAACAGGGCCATAGATCCGTTCTTAATATTGTGTAGAGCTCCTTCAAAGAATGCTATTGTCTATAGTCTTACAACACCAAAGAAAGATCTGCCCCAGCATTGAAAAACAGTAGAAACCCCCACAGCTAATGACTTCTCTGATACTCCCCATTTGAAAAGAATTAGGTTTGCTCTGAAGGACAAGTCGGGTGACTTTAAAAAGACCTGGTCCCCCTCCATTGTCCACAACAAACCTGACTGTCCATAACAAACCTAAAGCAACACACTTAGCCCCCCTATTTTTTTCATTTATTTAAATTTTAGTTGTTCGTTTTCTTCAGTGTATACCTGTGCTTCTCCTCTGATGACGAAAAAGGTCTATTAGAACATGAATCATCATGACTTGTATTCATTCTTTCCCCTTTGAATGCAGACTTCTCAGACCACATTATATCGCATGTTGCATGCATCAGCAGATATCACCAAAGTTCAAACTCATTTTGTTTTTATCTTGCCAGCTCCCGACATTATGATACCCCCCACACCGCCACCACTTCCCCTCACCCCTTCCACCCACACTTCCAAGCATTTCACGCCCACAGAATCACTCCCCTCGCCTCATATAAGCTGCTTGCAGATTCAGCCACAATATCTTTGAGCAACTTTTTGGAGAGAAATTCCTAAATTGAAGCTCCTGCTAAACAACCATACAGCTATGATCTCGACTGGAGGCTTCGCAGGATTTTGGATAACTGCACTGCTGACTCTTCATGGTGCAGATGTGGGAGGTAATGTCCTCTTAAATTCTTTCAGCATTCATACTTTATTTGCTCTTCAGATCACAGTGCTGTAAACATCTGTGTTGCTTTGTATTCTTTTCCCACAGAGACCAGAAGAAACTCCCTCAATGAGCCTGACATGCCTTTCCCACCTGCCTGTCCCACTGCTCAGAACCTCGCTGCCATCTGCAATCAAGGTCAGGGTCGTCCCAGATACCCACCCAGCTTCTTCCCGAACTCTAGGGTCAGTCACTTCCGCCGCCGTGGAAATGCCATCAACCGTCTGGAGTCGTGGTACAGTCAGTGCTGCAGTGGGCAGAGCAACCAGATCCTCTGCTGCGCCCAACAAGCTGTAAGTCTCTGCCTGTGTTTGTGTTTGTGTTTGTGTCTGTGTGTCTGTGTGTCTGTGTGTACGCTGTTATTATTGATAATAAAGTGAATTTATTGATAATAAAGTGATCACTTACGGCGAGGAAGCCAAACTGTTCAAGCTAAATACATCAGTTTCAGGAGGTATGCTGCTATATTCCATATATCCAAGTAGAGTATACAGCATAATCCAATTATAATCTCATAAACGGTTGCTACCACCCTCAAGAAACAGCAAATATAAACATATTTTGTACATGTGTTTACCTTCTACACATAGCACAAATATAGAACTGGTACTTTAAAATAGGTATGCCTCTAAGATAAGAATTTATGAGGGTAAAGTGTGCGTTTCTATGACTCTCACTAATAGGGAGATGAAATACAGCTTTGTCTTGTTTCTTACAGTGGAAACAAGCCCTGTCCCAGTTCTGCTTGGAGGAACATTCCACCATGACTCTCGCATATGTGTGCTGTGCGGACAGAGGAGATGCACGGTGGAGGTGCTTCGACAGCGAGCTGCCAAACCCAAACTATGAGGCAACACCAGGCTACACTGCACCCACAGTCCCAGACGAGGCAGGATTCACTTTCAACCCAAATACTTGCTAAAAGTGGAAAGAGAAATATAAACATATACAGTGTATAACTAAAATGTACAGGTTAAAGTATCTGTAGGTAATAAAAGTATTATTTTTCTGTAGCTTTGAGAGCGAGATTAAGTAAATGTGCTCGAACCGGCATCACAAAATGTACAAGACAATGCTGAGCTAATAATGCCATATGTCCTGTAGATCTTTGTGGGCAGGGCATGCTGGTTGGGCTTATGCTGAGTCAGGATAATAACAGTTGAGGTTGGTTATTATTTTGACAGCTTGGTATTTTAACCAAGCATTGTCACAACAACAGGAAACATATTTTTTAATTGCACTTCTCCACAAATGTTCACAGTTCAATTCACAAGTTGTACCCTACATGAATTACACAGTTTCTGACACGTACTGTAATATTCTGTCTTAGAAAAATAAAGGACTGAAAAAAGACATAAATGTTCTCACATGCTTTTTTTTGGTTACTGAACAAACAACTTTTAGTGAACTTGACATACCTTTGGAGAAACAGCATGTTGGCAGCTTCCAAAAATGTTGAGTTTGAAACAAGTTCTGCAAGTCTTGCAATACAAAGTTCACACGTTTAATAAAACAAGTGTCCACTGGGGGTCGCTATTGGCCGTAATAGTTGGGTGCGCGACATTTACAGATCAGTGATCAATAGGAAAAGTTGAGTGTGCTGCACAGCCTGCATTACAAAGTGAAATAAAAGTCACACAACATTTTTAAAAAAAAAAAATCCTAGCAATGTTTGACTGAGACATTTTATATTGTACACGTACATTTTTCATAGTCAGTGAGCTGACCACAACAACCACAGAATGACCGGTACATTTCCTGTCTGGCTTCAAAATAAAAGAGGAAACATTTAAAATATAAATCATTAGAAACACTCCAATTAAAAATATGTATAAATCCCATGTTTAAATCAAGCTGAAAGAGAAACATTTGTGGTCAAAATAACAAAAATAACATGTTGTCAAATGCTCTGTACTAAAAGCACACGTTCTATTAAAGAGGTCAAAAAAAACCATCAGTATGAACATTTTGAAATGAGTTCAAAATGTTCAGAGTATCAGGAGGCTGCATTCACAAAGGTACTGTTTTGCAGTTGTGGAGCACATTTAAGAACATTTAGTCTACCTAAGTACAATTTAAGGGAGTTGTAATTTACCTAGGTATCTCCACACCTCATCTACCTAACTATATTTTAGAAGCAAATATGATACTTTTTACTCCACCGCATTTATTTAACAGGTTTAGTTACTAGTTAAAAGGTTATAAATACATAGTCAAATACCTCAGTGTCATTTATTGTCATATGTACAACATTTTCAAGAGCAGTCTTTGAAAAACTGATACATATAATAAATATATATGTATGTATATGATAATAATAATAACAACAACAACAACAACAACAACAATAATAATAATAACAGTAAATTGCATGAATGGACAGAATGTGACAGGAATTTACTGTAGTAAAATGTAGTTTATGATAAACTTGTGAAATATACTTTGTTACAGACTACATAAAGCACATACAGAAGGCAGAATTAACTCTGCTTCGACCAAATGCTAATTGAAAAACATGCTGCACATGTGTTAATACATCAATAACTATAATAAAATAATAAATCTATAATAATTTAATAGTGATGGGAGCCATTCTCCTGCATAATAAGTATTTTCACATTTGATAATGGTTGATTTGGCTGCCAATGCCTCTGTACATTAACATAAATAACATTTTGAATGCAGGAATTTTAATACAGTATGTTTACATTGTGATAATGTTACTATTATTTACTCAAATGCTAATAATACTTCTGTCACTGCTGTTTTGTGGTACAGCTGTTTACCTGAGTATACATTTCAAAGGCAGACTGGTTTTCACTCTTTTTCTATTAGTAGTTGTACTTATTTGTGATTTTGCAAAATGTGGTTCTTGATCACAATCTTTTGAATTGTATTGCATTGTTTAACTTCACACAGTTATTGTATTTAACTGTGAAACAATCCCTTAAGTTAATGTTTAAATGTGTAATTTCCTTTATTTTTTTGTTATGTGATTATATACGGTTATATACTATATCATATATAGGCGTGGTATACACAATAAACTTTTTAACAGTCCATTTTTGGATGGTATTGATTTACTATTAATTTATTTTTTTGTGTGTGTTTTATTCTGAAAGAAGATTTTTACCGGAAGTTCTGTTCTCGCCCTGGCTCGCGCAGCAGAGCACAGAACTGCTGCTTCCGCACTGCTTCCTTGTTTATTAGTTTTAGGGAAAACAGTGACTTTAGAAGGGAAAGGGTTGTTCTTTCTTTCTCTGGAAACGGCCGGAACTCCTCTGCAAGATTACCGAGTGAGTTAGCTGTCTGCTTATCTTGTTTTTCGTTAGTTATAAGCGTGACTAGCTTGGTCAAAGTTAGAAAAGTTGAACCAGAGTTAGCAGCTAGCTTTCTCGCCTCTGGTTAAATGTCGAAACCCAGACACCTCGGTAACTGCCGTGCTAGCCTGTTACAACATGCACCAGTCTTACCATTCATTGGCATTCCCCACAGTTACATTATTTATCACAGGGTTAGCTTAAAGTTTCCGTAAAAGATTACCTCCAGTCTCTCGTACTGTTTATTTTAAAAACAGCTCATCCATCAGCAGAGCCCGTCAACGTGGCTGCTGTCAATATTTGTGGCATGAAGTCATATAAGGTGTCTGCGGTTCATGAGTTTCTTTTTTACTACACAGGTCCCCAGCTACCTGCTCAAAAGAAGGGAAGCAGAATCTGAATTTCAACACAACGAAGTCGAAGTTCAGGTTCTGGTCTGAATGGCCACAGCTGCTGAGGAGCCTCCGGGGCTGCAGGGCCTCTCTGGTAGTAAGTACTATATTATTATACACCACCTTTTTCTGAACGGGATAGACCAGATGTGTTTGACATGAGTTACTCACTCAGGTGATACTGATACATGGGCATAGGTCCAGGTAATTGATCCTGTGTGATCGACGTGTCTGAGCATGCCAGCAGCTTATCAGACAGTCAGTAAATTTGTTTAATTAAATATGACAAATATAAACATTATTCTTCCTTGTATAAAAACTATCCATTGCCAAACCTCATAAATCCTCCAATGATCTTCAGTGTTGGGTCTGCTGTTTGCATACACTTTGTTGCCAAGTTATTAGACACACCTAGCTGAAACTAAAGCCGTTCAATACCTTTCTTAAAGCGTATTGTTTTCAGTTTTGTTTAAACTTTAATAGAAATGTTGACTCAACTTAATTGACTCAAGTTTAATTGAGTTCCAGTAAGAGGTGTTACTTTTTAGTGTCCTTCTTGAAATAAATGTGGTGGGGGAAAAAAGACTAGAATAGGAAGTCATTATTGTGAAAGTACATTGTACAGCAAAATTTGCTGTGCAGCTCTTAAGTAGTACATTATAGCTGTAGGTGGTAACTTTTGTAAAAATAATTCTTTTTCATATTTGCTATCACTATATCCTGACATTAGTATTGTGTAATATGACAGATAATCTGTGGAAAAAATATGTTCCTTTTCCTCCTTCTAGTGCTTCTAATGGCAAATTAAATGTTTTCAGAAAAATATTATAGCTGTAAAATGAGGCAGCTAAAAGGTTTGCTCCAGCTCGTGGGTTGTATTTGGTGGGCGGGTCACAAACTGTCTCATTTTACAGATAAAAAGTACTCATAAATATGTTCCTGGGAACATTTGAGGTGAGAAATAGGCAATGTAGTAACAGAATCTCTATTCATTTTTTTAAGCACTACCAAGTTTGACTGACCGCAGTTCATGAGCAGTGATTGACAACTGCATGAGCGACTCCTTGGCTGTGATTGGTGTTTTCCCTTAGCCACAGTGAATTCTTGCAAATGCCATCAGAAGCACTATAAGGCGGAGAATAACCTGGGGCCGTATTCACAAACATTCTTTTTTTAGTACGGAGTCCTAGCTTAGGAGTGATTTAGGAAAGTTCTCAGAGCAGCTCTGAGCAAGGAAGAGACAGAAATTTTGACCTTAGTGAGGAGGTGTGGTTGATCCCCGTTGCTAGGTATGACACATTCTTTTAACAGGTGTGATTGGTTGTCACAGACACCACCCTGTTGTGAGCCTGCGAAGTGTGGACACCTAGTGGAAATGAAATAAACTGCTGGCTGTTAAAGCGTTGTCGTAGTTAGTGTGATCACTCTGCTGATGGAAGGTTTAGACAGACCTAAGTCATCACTGCTTCATTTTTCCAGTTTTCCAAATATCTTAGTGTTGTGATCATTTTATTTCCAGTGTTATAGTGTTAGATGGGAAATGTGTGCGTATCCCTGATGACATCAAACACACATATTATTTCTGCATGATCTCATCTGCAGCATTTCATTTACTCACTGTCATCCTTTCTTTGGAGAATATTTCTACAACTTCTTTGTGCTTCCACCACTTTCTCCTCAGATTGAGAAATTCTTAAGCCTCTTAAAAGTCCTCCTATCCTCTCCTCTCCTCTCCTAACAGTCTTTCACCCTAGGAGCTCTAAGATGCTCTGTGAATAACTTTAATCAAGGACCTAGTCTTAACTTTAAGGGTAAATTCTAAGAAAATGTCACAATTCTTGCCTTGTACATGGGGCACCTGCTCTACCACTAAGCCACCGATGCCCCAAAATGTCACAATTCTAAGAATTTCAGAGTTTCATCACAAGGAGCAACTCTTTATACAAGGAAGCTTTGTGAATACAGCCCCAGATCTTTTTCACAGATTACATGTCTCATACTGTCAGGATATAGTGACCGTTTCAGATAACACATGTCCACATGCATAAATACGTGCACCTGCCATACAGATAAATGATAATGCTAAAATAAATTTTAAAAAGAAGTAATTAAAGAAATTACATATCAGGTGCTACTGTTTGTACATTGTGCCAAATGCAAAAAAATTGTAATTTAATAAATCGGTTAGTAGAAGTGACTGCATTAGTTTTAGCTAGGTGTACTAAAAACTGATGAAAACTGGAAACTGAGTGAAAATAACAGCAGGAAATGGGGCTATTTAACAAACAGGTTTTGAAGGGGAACACAAAATCGATGCAGCCAAGGCCAAAATTCCTGACTTTAGTTCCTGGTATGGGTCAGGCTCTTAAAACTCTTGATTCTACAATAACAATAATAACCTATTACATATTATTAGACCCTCCTAGCTTGGTAAATACCCACAACTTTCAAACTCCATGCCCCCAGTTTGTTAGACATGCTATTTGTTTTAATCACAACAACATCATTAAGGTTATTTACTCCTTTATATTTAAAATAAGTGGAATTTGCTGTCAATAATTTACAAAGCAAACTGAAAAGTAGACAGAGTCGCACCTTCATATCGTTCCACTTTCTCTATTGTGTTTCTTACTTAAACAAGTGAACTATTTAGGTGTGATGTTGACTTTGGACTCCCAGGAGCATAACTTAGAGGTCAGGACATTCATAAGCCCTGTATGAACTCACTTTAATAGTAATAGCATACTTATCTAATTCCTCCCATTGCACTCAAAGACCTGCAGAGTCAGTTCTGGAGGAGACTGTCTTCTCTCAGAGGTAATGAACGAGGTGCGTCTGCATGCTTGTTTCAAAGCTGCACTCTTTGTTTTCAACATTAGGGAATGGTTAAAGCTGTTTGAAGCTATGTTGTTTGACATTAATGCATCCAGTTAGCGTGAGAATTGCATTTTTTCTTTTACTCCTTGTGTATTATTTTGTAATTTGCATGTTTCTTCCTCTCTCGTGCTGCAGGTTCGACTGGGATTCGAAAAAATGCTTCTCCTGAGGTGAGAAATAACTGACACGTTTGGAGGATATGAGCAATCTGGCTTTGTGTCAGTTAGGAAACACATGTTGCATTTATCTTTACAGAATATACGGACATTTAACTGACACATCCTCTATTCCTTCCTCTTTCAAACATGAGAATATGACATATTGCTGCAATGAGTTATTTTCCTCTCCTAATTCTCCCCTCCATCATGTTTGTACTGACAGAGTCCAAGCACCAGCATGTCCCCGGCCATGAAAAAAACTATTGGCCATCGTGGAATTGATCCCACCGGGGAGACGACGTACAAGAAGGTGGGGGATCATCTATCGCTTACTGACACACATCATTCCCACAGAGCTGCAGCTAATGATTATTTCCGTGATCTGTTAAATTGGCCAGTTATTCTTTCAATTAATCGCTGTGTTCATAAAATAGTGAGAAAAGTGGGTCGTTTTTTACTTGACCCAAAGATATTAAGTTTGTAAAGATAAAGTTTGGAGTTTCTGTTAACAGTTAATCATTATCAACCAATTTCTGTTGATCGATCAGTTGTGGCAGCTCTACACTCACTGTTAATGTATGAAAATATGTAAAACCTTAAAGGAAAACTTCAGTATTTTTTTCAGTCTGGACCCTATTTTGCCATGTTTTTGTGTTTGAGTGCCTAATGTAGACAATCATTTTTGACATTGGTTCAGTGTTGAGAGAGACCTCAAACATGCTGCAATACAGGCAGTTGGGCACCATTAGTTTACGTCCATTAGTAGTGCTTGTTTTTGCCACTGACAAACACTGATTGTTATTAGAAATGACTGACAATGTTGTGGAAAGGATCCCACAGAGAAATGAAGCGTTTTTCCTGACCTTTCACTCATCTGTTTATTATTACAACCAAGTCTTACTGAAATCATGTGAGAGGTGACTTATTAAAGGTGGAATCATTAGTAGAAGTTGCACAGAGGAATGCTGGGAGGAGTTCATTGTGTTGGAGTACAGAGGGAGTAGCTTAGTGTTATGTTTTTCATAATGTTGTCATACACTTCTTATTACAGCCTGAGCCTGTCAGTGGCAAAAACAAGCACTTTTAATGGACATAAATTGACGGTGCACAGTTGCACACAGGGATTACATTGCAGCCTGTTTCACCGCTGCCACTGTAGTGGTCTCTCTAAATACTTGACCAGTTTAAAAAATGGTTGTCCTCATTAGTCACATAGACACAAAAACATGGGAAAGAGGGTCGAGGTTAAAAAATACCAGTTTCCCTTTAAAAGTGCTAGAGTCCTATCGGTCTGGTTAAATCCAGTTGAGGGGATTGCATAATAGGTTAATTGATATTGTCTGAAATAAACTTGTAATTCATGTTGATGTGCAGTGTAATTACAAATTAAATTTAACATTTGCATTATCAACTAATGAAATGCAAAAACTACCAGCAAGCGTGGCATGTGTCTACATAAAGACAGCACTGCATGTATCACCTGATACATAATAGTTTGCTCTGTGTTCCAGACAACATCATCTGCCTTGAAAGGTGCTATCCAGTTAGGCATCACGCACACGGTGGGCAGCTTAAGCCAGAAACCTGAGAGAGACGTGCTGCTGCAGGACTTTGAAGTGGTGGAGAGCATCTTCTTTCCCAGGTGAGTCTTTTACATTTTGAAGCAAGGATATGTTGTAAAGATGATGATTTGACTGTAATACGTTATTACTCTTTGACTTAACCCAGAGGTTGTGTTAGACCTTCTTGTCGTCTGTGTCTGTTGTTTTGACAGACAGATTCAGGACACTTTTCATGTCAACCCCACAATCTGATAAATCATTCATCCCCCCCAGCAACAAACCATTTTTTCACCTCGTTTAACAGCTCCATCACAATTATTGTAAAGCTGCTGTGACAATGCGATGGCAAAAGCCAGCTAGAAAATGAGGTCATGCATGTGAATTCAAAGACAAGACAGTAGCTAATTATTATGCACATGCCATCAACTGGGCAGGGGTGTTAATTACTCAAAGTTACGGTAGATCGCTCCCAGTGACAGTGTCACTTTCAAAATGACAAACAGCCTTCAGATATTTCTGTCATTGTGGGAAAAATCCTGTTATTGACAGAAAATATTCGATTAAGGAAACCTCTGACTGAACCTGTCTTGTATGTGATCTAATTCTCTGCTCTTGTGTCTCTTACTGGCAGTGAGGGCAGTAATCTGACACCAGCTCACCACTATGGAGACTTCAGGTTCAAGACATACGCTCCGATGGCCTTCCGCTACTTCAGGGAGATGTTTGGCATCCGGCCTGATGACTACATGGTATTCTTGATTACTCAGCATCTGTAATACTCAGGAATTGTGCAAAAAGCTAGCAGAACAGCAAAGCTCTTAAGAAAAAGGAAAAGCTGTGAACTGTGAGAAGAATGGCATGATTGAGGAACCGGAAAGAGTGAAACTAGAGAAGTGTGAAATAATGGGATGTTGACACACCAGGGGTGGAGCTGATGACTGCGTAAAGGCGTCACTGATCTGTTTTTAACCTGTGAGTCTGTGTTGTTTGGTTTCTATCACATGTCTAACCACTTTGCTCCTGTCTTGTTAGTGTTCTCTGTGTAACGAACCGCTGATTGAGCTGTCAAGCTCCGGGGCCAGTGGATCTCTGTTCTATGTCTCTAGTGATGATGAGTATATCATTAAGACGGTGCAGCACAAAGAGGCGGAGTTTCTGCAGAAACTGCTTCCAGGCTACTTCATGGTAAGCTCTGATGAGTGGTTTTAGGTACCAGATGGTATCTGCAGAATAAATGTGCACATGATTACACCACACAATAAAACTAATAAAATGTTTAAAAAGAAAAACTCCAAACACTCGTTGGCGTTAGCTGTTTTCAGCGGTCTCTCCTCTATACAATTCAAATAAACACAAGAAGTTTGTGCTCTAATAAAAAAAAAAATAAAAAAAGGGATCAGCACTCAGTGAATAATCCTCCTAAGCCCTACGATAAGCTATTATGGCAAGGCTTAACTATACAGACCCGTGAGCAGTGATAACTAACATGTCTTTGGGGTCATCGGGTGGGAACCTCCTTTCACCGGTGTTTCGTCTAGTTAGTCCCACGACACCTCCAGGAGGCTAGACAGTGATCTCTGGCGTCCCAGAGACACTCCCCTAATGCCAGGTCTCACTGCTCCCCACACTAACCGAACAACCTCCTTTACCTTACCTATACTACCACAGAGGAGGTAGACCCAGGGAAGGAAGCCTTGTTAGGCTATCACACTCCCCCGCCGGGTTAGGCTGTACAGTCTACCTCCCCAGGACGAGCCCTCACAACAATGACACCTCCAGGAGGCTGGACAGTGATCTCAGCCCAAACAGCACTGCCAACTTCAACCAAGCCCAGGCTCCGTTTATGCGAGCTCCAGGCAGAAGCAATGCTGATACTACCTTTACTAGCACATTCACCATACTCTATTTCACACGCTACATAGCATAACTACAATGTAAGCTAAAGTTAAAGGAGATAAATGAACTCACAGGATCAGCAAACACACTCACTTTGCAGCATGGTCTCAAACAAAATGGATTCAAATAGGCCACTCCCACACTTAAATAACCTTCCTCTTCCTGGATTTCCTTCTTACTTACACATGGCTTTCTCAGCCCAAACAGCACTGCCATCTTCAACCAAACCCAGGCTCCATACATGCGAGCTCCAGGCAGAAGCAATGCTGATACTAGCTTTCCTGTCACATTCACCATACTCTATTTCACACACTACATAGCATAACTACAATATAAGCTAAAGTTAAAGGAGCTAACTGGACTTACAGGATCAGCAAGCACACTCACCTTGCCGCATGGCCTCAAACAAAATGGATTCCAATAGGCCACTCCCACACTTAAATACTTCCTCTTCCTGGATTTCTCCTGACAGGAAGTGGATCTCTCCACCTGATCTCAAGGAGTTATGTGCCCTGCTTAGTAGTTCCCCCTGCTGGCCCCCAGCTGACATTATTTCTTCTGTAATAGATAAACTGGCTGCATTTAATTGCTTCATCTGACATTTCCCTCACTGTCTTCCTCAAATTCTGTCCCCGCACTCCGAGTTCCCCCAGGAGTGAGACAGTTGATCTTGCTATGAATCCCCTACACCCCACTTCCACTGGACAAATCCTAGTCTTCCATCCTCGCTGCTCAGCTTCTGCTCCTAAGTCTGCATATCTAAGCTTTTTTCTTTCATAGGCTTCTTCCACTGAGTCTTCCCAAGGAACTGTCAGCTCAATGAAATAAACTATCTGTTGACTCACTGACCACAACACTAAGTCAGGCCTCTGCCTGGTACAGACTATTTCCTGAGGAACAACAAGCTTTCCCCCTAAATCTACTTGCATTTCCCAATCACAAGCACCTTCTAGGCGGCCACACCCTTGCCTCCTCACTAACTTATCCCTTCTGTATTTCTCTCCCTCACGGACAAACTGAATTACTAAGCCCCTATCCTTAACACCTTCTGAATTCACCTGTCTTCGTTTCCCTTCGATGCCTGCAGCTAAACATTTCAACACCTGATTATGTCGCCATGTATATCGGCCTTGTGACAAGCTAACTTTACAGCCTGACAAAATATGCTTTAAAGTTGCGGTACGTGAACACAATGGGCATGATGGGTCCTCATTTACCCACAGTTTTAGGTTCTGGGGGGTTGGTAACACATCGTATGTAGCCCCTACCAGGAATCTAATACGATTCTCCTCCATACTCCACAGGTCCCTCCAACTAAGCTTCCTCTTCTCTACACTTTCCCAATTCAACCACTGTCCCTGTTTAGCCTGGGCCACTACCTTTGCACCCCTTACTATCTCTTCCTGTCTGCGTATCTGTTCTACAACCAGCTTTCTTTTATCTTTGAGGCCTGCTGTATTCCATACCGGTTTACCTGAGCCAAGCCCCAGGCCTCCCCGGCCAAACTGAACATTACCTACAATCTCTGCATGTCTAAGAGCTGCCTCTGCCTCCTGAACTGCCGATCTTGGGTTCCACTTCCTCCCCTTGGTTGGATTTGGAACCACACTCCTAACTACCACGTCCTTACTCCCAGATAACAAGAGCTCTGTCCTGACCTTGGTACATTTAAATTCCTCTGTTAAACTAGATACTGGCAGCTGAAGTATCCCTTTTCCATACAATGCAACACTACTTAGGCACCTAGGAGCGCCCAACCACTTCCTAATGTAGGAGCTAACCGACCTTTCCATTCTCTCCACAACAGATATTGGAATTTCATAAACTGACAATGGCCACATTAACCTAGGATATAGCCCAAATTGCAAACACCACAACTTCAACTTTCCTGGAAGTTCTGATTTATCTATTCTATCCAATCCTTCAGCCACATCTTTTCTAAATTTCACCACCTGTTCCTTATCATTCAACTCTACATTGTACCACCTACCTAAGCTCTTTACTGACTTTTCCCTAATTGTTGGGATGTCCTCATCATCTATGACAAACTTCCTATCACTTAACTTCCCTCTACATATCGAGATGCTTCTAGATTTACTAGGCTTGATTTTCATGCTGGCCCACTTGAGGTTCTTATTTACCTTCTCTAGTAGCCTCTTTGTACATGGCATTGTTGTGGTCACCAGTGTCATGTCATCCATGTAAGCCCTAACTGGTGGAAGATGCAACCCATTCTGCCGTCTCTCCCCACCTACCACCCACTTAGAAGCCCTGATGATTACTTCCATTGCCATAGTAAATGCTAATGGAGAAATTGTACACCCTGCCATGATGCCTATTTCTAGCCTCTGCCAACCTGTTGTGAAACCTGCTGTACTTAGACACAACCTAATATCCTGAAAATATGCTTTCACTAAGTTAACAACTACCTGTGGCACTCTGAAGTAGTCAAACGCACTCCAAATGAGGCTGTGCGGTACTGAACCAAACGCATTTGCAAGATCTAAAAATATTACATGTAGGTCCCTTTTGTTAATCTTCGCTGCAAAAGTAGTTAAGTGTACATGCTAATGTTATCTGTTACAAAACACCTACTGGAGAAGAAGAAGTTTGATTAGTAAATGTAACATGATTATTGAATTTAGGAGTGTCTCATCACTGCATTACAGACAAATGTGTATGTGTAATGTGATTACAGTAACCCCCAACACTGTTGGAGAGAGCTACCAAGGAATACAGAAGTGCTATCCTCTTCCTGTTGTGGTTGTGCAGTGGTTGACGCACTTCCTTAGTGGCGTCAGTTGAGCCTTAATTTTTCCCGAAGATTGTCCACTTTGGCTGACACAATTGCATAGTGAAAGCGAAGCTTATAGGAAACATAGACTGTATATAAAGATGGACAATGTGACTCCACTTTCCCCCACTGTACAAAAATGAAGCCAAAATATCCTGGATCTTATGCTGGTGGCATCATTTGGAGCCAGAGTCTGTGCAGTAGTGATCTCTGCCGGTACCTGGTTCCCGCTCATTCATTCGTCGAACCAATCATGATGAGCGCCACTGATAGTGAGCATACTGATTGTCATACACAGCTGTCACCAACGACTCAGTCCCCTTTTTAACATCAAATTACTACTCAAAACCAAAGATATCTCAAAAAAGAACACTTGAACTTGCATTAGCAGGATAAGAACTACATAAAATGACAGAAGCCATCTTTGGGTAAAGTTTATTTGATATGTACTTTGAGTTTTTAGATTGTCCCATGTCCCATCCGCTAACATGGAGGGGGCAGGGTTTATGATCTATAGTGAAGCCAGCAATCTAGATGTTTTGGCTTCACTTTTGGGGAGGCGTCATGTCGTCCATCTTTATATACAGTTTATAGGAAGCAATCTAAACATCAGTGGTGTCAGTATTCTACAGCCATTACACTGTGTAATCAGCATTTACATTGCTATTTACATTTAAATAATGACAGTAATCATTAGTTGCAACACTTGAAACATCTAAACATTTTTACTTTCCATTTCTGACATAATTCTAGACAGATAATGGGTCTACATTATTTCCTTTTCCATGCCTAATGTGCAACATGTAAGACAAAAACAACACTTGTTACCACTGTGTATTTGCATTTCTAAAATTACACTGACTGGCTCAAGGTGTCTAAACAATTTGACATCAAAATAAGGTCCCATATTAATGACTGCAACACTTGTGTGGGACAGTGTGTTTACTTGTGTTTCATCATTTATTTTTTTTTCGTTTGCATTAGTCAACCACTTATTTCACTTTTTGTACAGCTGCATCAATAATTGTTCTAATTTTATTTTCTCTCTGCTCTCCTTCAGAACCTGAACCAGAACAAACGGACCTTATTACCAAAGTTTTATGGACTCTACTGTGTCCAGGCAGCGGGTAAGAACATCCGTATTGCAGTCATGAACAATCTGCTCCCGAGCGCAGTACGAATGCACCTTAAGTTTGATCTAAAGGGCTCCACCTACAAGCGACGGGCTTCAGCTAAAGAGAGGGAAAAGTCCTCGCCCACATACAAGGACCTGGATTTCATGCAGGACATGAATGAGGGGCTGTTACTGGAGGCGGACAAGTACAATGCTGTGTGCAAGACCATCCAGAGAGACTGTCTGGTAAGAACTGCAGAATAAAGTCTTAACATGAGGCTACAGGTGTGATATTTACATTTTGTTTTTCTTGTAAATTTATTTGTGATCACTAGTCTCACTGTACTTGTGTTTATTGATCTCCATTCAGCTTTTGCAAAGTTTTAAGATTATGGACTACAGCCTTCTGGTGGGAATCCACAATATAAATCAGGCTTGTCGAGAGCAAGCCGGTGAAGAGGTGGTGGCCGGGGCTGCGGACCAAAGGAAGCCACAAGGTCAAAAGTCCCTGTACAGCACTGCTATAGAGGCCATCCAAGCTGAGCCAGGGAGCATGGGATCAATGGACACAGAGGACAAGTGAGTGTTCCAGAGGCCAGTGCAGCACTCATGTTACTGAGATTAATGACAGAACACAGAATGATATTTTTTTTTGTTTGGTTTTACAGAACGGGAGGGATCCCAGCACGAAACTCAAATGGCGAGAGGTTACTGGTGTATATTGGTATCATCGACATTCTGCAGTCCTACAGGTAAACGGAACACATTTTTATGTATCTATAAACCCCTTGTTCATTCAGTGACACTCGCACAATGTCTACACATTCTACATTGCAAAATCAGCAGCTTCAGTGTTCAGAAGTACTGAGTGTAATCCAGGCTCTGTGTGTGTGTGTGTTCATCAGATTAGTAAAGAAGCTTGAACACTCGTGGAAAGCTCTGGTTCACGATGGGGTAAGTAATCTCCACTACACTCAGGTAACTGTGTTAAAAATCAGAATATATATATCTATGTAAGCCCTGTTATCATTCCTTTTCTGTAGGATACTGTATCAGTACACAGACCAGGTTTCTACGCAGACCGATTTCAGAAGTTCATGTGCAATGTTGTCTTCAGGAAGATTGCATGTAAGTATATTGTATCTTTGTGAGCATGAGTATGAATACTGTGAACCCTGTGGGGCACTTGATGGCCAAGCTCAGCAGTTGCTTTCATGCTGTTTCAACACCAGGCTCTCCCTGTCATGGTGCATTGAAAGTTTGGGAATCCTGATAGGAGCTTTCCTCAGTGGAAACTTTATTATATTTATATATATTTATATTTATTATTATCTTGGATGTGCAGAATTTCAAATATATATATATATATATATAACAGTTAAAGTATCCTGCCAAGAGCAGATCACAACTCTTGATGAATTCATTACTATTTTTTAAAGGTTGAGTCCAGTATTTTAGGGGGAATTTCAGTCTCAGCGCATATATTTTAGTGTCAAAATGCTATTTCCCCAAGCTCTTCTATAGAAGTTTGACCACATGACCATAATTAGGTTTCTATTCCTTTAACCCGCTAACTGCCACGAAAGCTAAGCAATGTACTGCTGCCACGTTGGTTTGAATCCCAAGGTAAAAGGGGTAAAAATTGTAAAATTACTGTTTTTGTTAAAGAAGTCTGGTGCCTTTGGAGAGAGCAATATTAAGATTTTAGTTTACCGTCTCCAAAGGCTGTCTGATGGTGCAAAGAGGTAAAAATATTACATTAACTATGAATAAGTGCCTCATACACCCCCACTTCAAAAAGTCCAAACTATTCCTTTCACTTATAATTTTTATTATTATTAGCGCTCTATCGTACGTCACTGCTTTTCTCTAACAGCTGAGTAAACATGTCTATTTGAAAAACCTAGAAAAGAATGCAGACCTTTACCTATTTTGCTAGAGTCTGGTGTGCAACATCACTCCACTTACAGACTGCTGATGAAACAGATGTCTGCTGCCATCAGACGGCTATAAAGAGAGTTACCAGAGTAAAGACAGGCCATCAGTTTTGGCAACTAACTGTCATAGATAGAAAGCTAGTAAAAATCACTCATTAATCTTTATTCTGTCTTGTGGGATTAAAACCATGTGTCATCGCATGTCAGTTATTTAAAAAAGTAAAATTAAAGAAGAAAGGTGGACAGAATATTAATAAAGGGGGTGGTTATACCGGCGTGCCTTCAACACATAAAGTGGCCAAAATACCTGCTGAGCTGTCACCTGAGCAGGTGGGTGGAGGACCTCAAGAGACACACCCATTCTTGGGTAAGAGATTGCATCGCCAAACCTCTACCGCGCCTCCCCTCCTACAGTGAGTGTACTGACACCATAATTAAGTCCATGATGTCGTCTCACTTTGACATTTTCCCTCTTGTGTTTAGTAAAGTCCTCCCCATCTAAGAAGCGCCGTGCAGTGTCACATGCTCCTTTGAGAAAGCCAGCGGGTTCTGGGCCCCCTCTGTCAACCCAAACCAGCAGCAGCAGCCAGCACTATTCACTCCAACAGCAAGTCAGCTCTGAGACCAAAGAGGACACTGAAGGAGACAACGGTGAGAACTGGAAATTGGATTTTGGGTATCAGCTCGAGTGCTGAAAACAAACTTTGTTTACTGTTACCCACAGAGATTAGGTCCTCCAGCATGTACCAGCATGTGAAGCGCTTCTTTCACAACACAGCATTAACAGTTTTCCCTCCGGTTCCACCCAGCCATGCAGTCAGGTCGTCCTGACCTCCTCCCAAAGACCTTACCGCCCAGCGACACTGTTGGCAACGCTACTGAAACCACTGTCTCCTCCTCCTTGGGAAACTCTGGATTTGCCCCCACAAGTCAGCCGCCGCCTCACTCTCAGGATACCTACAAGTCAGTGGGAGCAGAGTTAAACAGCACAAAAGGCAAAGACCAGGAGCACAGCACCCCCAAGAGGTGAGAGGGAAAAATACACAAGAGATTCTCAGCAGTATATGGTTGGTATATTGTTTGGTTCTATATGGGTTATAGCTAATGATTAAACATGTGATGTGATTATAACAATTGCAGTCATTGCAAACAGATTCAAATGTCTTACATAGATCTTTTTACCATTGTTTGACATTTTATGTATAAATATATAAGTTCATTAATTGAGAAAATTACCAGCACATTAATAATGAAAATAACTGTTAGAGCCTCTTTTCACCTGATATTAACATGCATCTTGGGTAATCCAATCACAAGTGGACAGCTCTGTCCATCTCTCTGAAACAAACCTCCACATATGTCTTGAGTGACCACTTGTGATCGAATCTCACCTCACCACTCTGAATATGTGAATCAGTTTCTTTTGCAAAGACCAAATGTGCTGTTGTTGTTTTTAACCAGCAGGAGGTTTGTTGTGCTATACGCACACTAACATGAGTAAAATCTTATTTAATCGTAGGGCTGCGCTCAACGTATTGATTCACAGCTCCTCCTTGCCCCACGCTGTCTCTCTCTTTCTGTCTTCGGGTTGTTGCAGAGATGAGCCAGTATGAGTTTGTCGTGACCATTTAATAGCTGCGCCTGCTGTGTTAGGTTGTGCTAAGCGGGAAGACGATGAACTGAGCACCTCTGGACACAATCTTTCAGCTCTGCGTCTGTGCAACTGCACAACAAAAGTTGCTGAAACAATGTGACCACATGCGGGCCAGACCACCTCCGAATTTAGTTCAAGCAGTCAGATCTCAAGACGCATTGAAGTTGCATATGGTGCATTCACGCCTGTAGTTTGAGCTGTGATCTGATTGTCCAGGACGAATGTTAACACCAGATGTAAACAGAGCCTGAGTTGCAGCCCAAGATAGTCTATTATGGTGAACAAGGCTTTAAAAATTCTACAAGAGGGTTTGAGAAAGACTAAAGGCAAAAATGTGCCTTAACCAGAACCTCAGACAAGTCAGCATGTGTTAAGACAGCGCAGCATCTTTAGAATGGCCATCTAGTGGCAAACATTTACATCACACTAATCTCTCAAGTAAATCATTGCTCTTTCTAAATGAAAGCATGAAATCTCAGCTAAAAGATATGGTATATTTGGAAGCATGTTGAGTTTTTGTTTTATGCATATACAAACCCAGTGTTTTAAATTGTATGACTGTTCAGTTCACTCACGCTGCTCCTTTGATGTTTGCAGAGCTCAGTATGAAGAAAGTATTGGTTCTGAGGATGTCATCTCACTCAGTGACATCGTTCCTAATGCAAGCAAATGCTCTGTAAGTTTATCAGTTCTTTTTTTTGCAACACTTTTACTTAAGCTGAGGGTTTTTCTTTTAACTATGTTCATTGCTTTTGACTTACAGGTGTAGACGTCAGGAGGAGAAGTAAACTCAAACAAACTCAACTCAGACTTGGAGGATTTCATGGGCATGGATGAACTGTTACAACCCCCCATTTGGTGTGACTTGAGGTACCAGAACTGAAAAATAAATGCAGCGTATCGTTGAGACCAAGTGGGATATTCAATGTTTTGTTGTTGTTGTTTTTGCACTTTGATTTCCAAATCTCTGCATGGTATGAGCATGTAAGTGGGTGGTTGTGTTCTGACACTAGTGATTGCGAGTACATTAACGCTGCGGTTATTGAACACTATTATTCATCTTATAGGAATGCTTCCAGCACAACCAAAGATTGTTCTTGGCACTGATGTGCTCAACTCAGCCAGTATTCAATGTAGAGTGTAACATGAGGACTTTGCCTTATTTGATCCTTATTTCTCCTTTTTGGAAGTGATTTCTCTTTAGTGTTTACCAAATTGCTGTAGCACGTCCTCATGCATACCTGGCTCTGTAAGTGTCTGTCCCATCACCCGAAGGTCTGAGCCTAGAGTACTGTTTCTGCTACATGGTAGACTTTGATGCTTTAAAGGGACAGTCCACCCCAAAATCAAAAATACATATTTTTCCTCTTACCTGTAGTGCTATTTATCAGTCTAGATTGTTTTGGCATGAGTTGCGTGTTGTTGGAGATATCGGACATAGAGATGTCTGCCTTCTCTCGAATATAATGGACCTAGATGGAAAAAAAATTCTTTCCAGAAATCATGACCCGGTTACTCAAGATAATCCACAGACCTTGTTGTGAGCAGTTTCATGTAGGAACTATTTTCTTTCCACCAAACTACACCTGCCAACCGAATCACTGTGCAAAAGGAAGCGTGCATCTACTCATGGACGAGAGGCTCGTGCTTGTGACAGCATGAGATGTGTCATGAGCAGATCTTTTTTGCCACTGAGCTCTTTAGCAGAAACAGTTCATAATTGTTTGTGTTATGTTTGCTAGTGCTCAAAAATATGCTTTGTTCTTTTAGACACTGGGTTGTGTTGTCAATGGGCTTAGCGGCTAACCAGCATCTTCAATCAGTCCTGTCAATGAATGACAAATACAGACTACTGCCACCTGCTGATACAAAGAGTTACTTCCTCTCACACAGGCGCAGAAAGGACAGTTTAGTTGGCTGTTTGCTGTAGTCTTTGCAGTGTGTTCAAGTGCAACTTTTTGGTTGCCTTAGTCACCACAAGTTCTTTGATGACGTTTGGTGCGTCTGTGCCCTTAGCTAGCTCAGTGGTGAGAGGTGTGCTAGCAGAAGATGCATGCTTCCTTCTGCACGGTGAAATGGTTTGCTGGTTTAGTTCTGTAGAATGACAATAGCTCTGTGTGCCATTATTTTCATTATATTTGAGATATTGCATACGACTGATATCTCCAACACTCTGCAAGTCACACCAAAACATCTAGACTAACAAACAGCATGACAGGTAAGAGGACAAATACTAATTTTTGATTTGGGGTGAACACAAAACCATGTTATTTGGATTGGAAACACAGTTTTAAATATTTACTTTTTATTACTGTATTCATATTGGGTAAGCTGATATTTTTTTAAGCCTACTCTGAATGCAAATCATGCTGGAAAAAGAGGTGATCCTCAGCGTGCGGTTTCTGTTTAACCAGCTGTTTGTTCTCTAATGTACCTGTGCTACTTTAAAGACTGTGAATCCTGAATGTCACCTCTCATGTTCAGGTCGAAGGGTTTTATTAAAAGGAGGGTTTTTTTTAATACTTAAACACTGAGTGATCTGATATCAGTTTCAGGTTTTAGTGTGTAGACTGGCTTATGTCCAGATGTGACCAAAGAACTGATACTCAGATGGCTGTGGACAAAGCAGTGACCTGGGGCCTGTCTCATGAAGCAAGACCAGTGAGTTTGTCAGCCAAGTGTAGAGTCATCTTTTTTCAGTGTCACTGAGAGAGCTCAAGTTTCAGCTGTGTTTTGTTGTCATTGCAACCAATGCACGGGACCAAACCTGCAGGGAACAGTTTGTGTTTTAAGGTTTTTGGATCACTACATATAAAGGGACCATCTGCTTGCCAGTTAATTGTGTCAGGTAAAACTGAACCAGTGTTGTTACAGGAGCTCGATGACCAAAAACACAGCATTCACTTTAAAGTGTCATGAAACAAAAAGCATGACATTAGAAGACAAGAAAGCCACAGCTTGTTGTAGGTTTGCCATGGCGCCATTTAGTTTTGTGTGAAACTGCTTGGTGAACGGTCTCTCATCCCATGCAATCTATGTCATCAACACTAGCTAGCTAGTTAGCTGGGTAACATAACGTATTCCTACCTGAGGTGTTCCAGTGTCATCCAGTGACTCCTGAGCCATGTTCAATCTGAAAAAGAGTGTGCATTGTTTTGCTACAGTTGCTAGATTGAATGACATGTTTCCTCGAAACGGTGTGAAACGGCATGCACCACGCTTTTAGGTGCATTTTCTCTCGTTTGGTGGGTGTTTCAGAGTTGTTTCCCAGTCAGCAGCAATGTATGTCCAAACCAAATTCTGATAAGTCTTTATTTATTGTACATAAGATTTTTGTTTTAATTTCACACTCATTTTGGCCAATTCAATAGATTTCAACCCTACCGTATTAAAAAGGGAGTGCACCTGCATAGCACAACAAGGTGTTCAACACACCTCTGTTTGTTTTGCTACCTTTTAATGGGGCTTTGTTTTTTTTTTTATCAGCTGAGAAGCAAAAGAACGAGCAAGATTTGTTGCTTGTGTGAATACATCCTACCTGTGCTAAACATCAGCTTTTTAGCTACAGCGAAAGAGAAAGATTGACATAACTTACAGGACACGTGCAGAGACTCTGTCCACTGCCTGTTTTTTCATATTATGTTCGGGGCGTTCCTGGGCACAGCGTACAGTTGAGGTCGGGACATTATGAAAAGGTGTCAACAGGTGCCAGACCATAAGCATTAAGCATTAAAATCAACAACATAGCACAGAAAAAAAAAGCGCAAATGAAGTTGACTCTCTTTTGCTGGCTATACTGTGTACAAACAGTAACAGACAGTTCCTGCATAGTATACCTTAAAACAATGGTAATTTTTTTTTTTTTTTTGCTTTTTTTCTTTCTTTTTTTTTTTTTTTACAAAATAAGATCCAATGGGGGGCGGCATGGTGGTGTGGTGGTTAGCACTCTCGCCTCACAGCAAGAGGGTTGCCGGTTCTGTGTGGAGTTTGCATGTTCTCCCCGTGTCAGCTCCGGGCACTCCAGCTTCCTCCCACAGTCCAAAGACATGCAGATTGGGGACTAGGTTAATTGATAATTCTAAATTGTCCGTAGGTGTGAATGTGAGCGTGAATGGTTGTCTGTCTCTATGTGTCAGCCCTGTGATAGTCTGGCGACCTGTCCAGGGTGTACCCTGCCTCTCGCCCAATGTCAGCTGGGATAGGCTCCAGCCCCCCCGCGACCCTCAAGAGGATGAAGCGGTTAGAAGATGACTGAATGAATGAATGAAGATCCAATGGGGCCTTTCTTTAATTTATGATGTAGGAAATAGTAACATAGTAAATGTTTGCAGCATAAGCAGATGTCCAGCTTTGGCCATAAAACTGAACAAAAGCAGTTTCTCATAGAGAGAGGAGCCAGGGTTCCTACAAAAGTATGGAAAAGTATGGAAATAAATTTGATCAGTTTCCAGGTATTAAAAAGTATGGAAAATGAAAAATAAAGTATGGGAAAATATTTATGTTTCTAGACTATTACCACTGTTCTAAAATACTGTTTTCTAAAATGGAAAATTAGGTATTTCCAAAAATAATTTAATCAATCCGGATCGTGTTTTATGCCGGGCCAAGCACAGACAAACGTCTCAGAAAACATACCGCCCCTTTTACCTGATTGACAAGTGGTATGTCCAGTCCGCTGCCCCATGACCCTCCTCCAGCCCCCCAGGTATCAAGTTAAACTCCAACACTGAACCTTCAACAAGAAGACGAGTTTCACATGGTTCACAATGGGTAGATGAAAGTTTTTGGATGGATGGCTTGACAATACCGTATATAAATACTGGTTGGCCAAGGATTCCCAATTCACACACAGAGCTAGAGCAAGCTTTGTGTGAAATCATTTGACATCGCCAACATGGGGGAGAAGGTCATGAAAGGAAAAAACACCAACGTCCCGTTACTGCATCGCTTGCACCCAGAGTCCCAACCTTTTTGCCTCAGCCCAGACACTGAACTTACCTAGAGTTTTTATTTGCATGTCATTATGGTACTTGGCTACAATCGCCTATTAAGAATAATTAAATATGATGTGAAATATGATACACTGATATATTTACTCAGATGTCGCATATACTCAAAAACAAAAACGCCGAGAAGTCTGGAAATTAGGGTATGGAAAAGTATGGAATTTTGAAATTCCAAATGTGTAGGAACCCTGTGGAGCGTAGCTAACTATTACAAGTACCTGTAGAACATAATATTTACTGTTCATAGTATTTCTGTTCATCCAGTACAGTATGTGCATATTTTAACCCTGCAGCCATGGACAATATAATGTAGGGTTATTTTTATATAATCATAAATAGCAACAGGTCATTTGCCTTGTTAATGTCATTTATGCAAAGCATTTGAAACCACCACCCTACTAATATCATGCAGTTGCATAAGTACAGCACCAGCAGTTTCGGACCTGCTCTTTAGTCCAAAATATAGTGATTTGCAAATACAGTGACAGCTTCAACAACTTTATTCCAGACTATGATTGTTTTTGGTGTGTGTGTGTGTGTGTGTGTGTGTGTGTGTGTGTGTGTGTTTGCTGTTTTGTCTTTTATATTTCAAACACAAAAGGAGTTTTGCTTGAGTGTTATTGTCTGTGCATGTGGTTACTTTGGTGAAAGAAGGGGACATCCTAAGCAGACTTAGGAAAGAAAAAACAGAGTGTAAAAAAAAAAAAAAAACATTAGCAATGTAGTTTGTTTGGAGCTTTGACTTTGCTGCTGAATATTTAAAACTACAAACCTGGGTGTTATAGCTTTCGAGCATTTTTATGTACGCTCTTCCACTCTTTGAAATAGTCTGCTGCTAAAAATGAAATGCTATTTATGAACTCAATTCAATATGGATTACTCAGATTTTAGTAATCAATTACTTTACTCTCGAGAATTCT